CCCTCGTGCTCTGAAAAGCTTCCACCTACTCCCATTTCTCGGTCTCGAGCCGAGCGAGCTCCTCCTCCACGCGAGAGAAAGTTGACTTCTTATTCGTCCTTGCCCGACACTCTCTGCCCGCGACCTTCCTTCCCGAAACCGCGCCAGCCGCTCCGTGCTGTGGTTTTCCTTTTCTTGGTAGTTTGACTCTGGGAAGCTGGTTCCCTGGTACAATGGAATGACATTTCTTCTCCTCTTCCCGATGCTTCCCTCGTTGCCATTAGTCTCGCCGCTCGATCCGAGAGACTTCGTTGGCCTCGCCTTCTGTGGGCAGGAAGCGTCCATTTTCTTTTTGGCTCGATTCGAGTGTCGTGGACTGTTGGGGGTGGTCTTCTTTCTCTTCTCCTCTATTCTCTGCCTATAAGGATAGTTCATTGGGATTTTTTTGGGATAGTTCCTTGGATCTTGGTAGCCATTCCTTGCTCTAGCCGTGAGCCCCCCCAATCCCCATTCCCGGCTTCTGGCTTTAGCCGAGGGCCTCATTGGCTGTTTCCCCTTCTGTGCCTCGGTTTTTCCTTGGCCGTGAGTCCTACATGCTGTTCAGCTCTTCGTAATGATCACAATCGTGAGCATTTATACGATTTCACGGGAAGATTTCTATGATTGTTCGGTATGTAAGGTTGTGGATTAATTCATAAGTTGGAAGTCAGAAAATTTTGATATCAACTTTGTGATTTGGGGAGGATCTGCAAGCTTTTGGTCGATTTGATTAATCCTGCGTTCTTGGAGTTTGGAGAATCAGCGCAAAGAAATATTTTATGATTGTTAGTAAAGACATCGGGCCCTACTTTTCCAGGTTTTTTCGATATGAGTTTTGAGAACTAATCCAATCTCCTTTTCGGTGTTTTAGATGGATCGGTGTCTCCTTTCTCTCACCCCATTTTTGTTCTTTTTTTTTCCTTGCTTCTTGGTTCGGTTTTTTTTGATGCTTATGCCCGATGCATAAGTGTCCACGTATAGCCTTTTGCTATACGTGAAACAATCAAGCAAGGTCGCAAATAGTCGTTTTGGGGCGTACGGTGTTGATGATAAAGACACATCGAGGATAGAGCAGAAATATACCCTATCCTATAACATCAAGATCCAGACATTTGATTAACAATAGGATATGGTATCCTTCACCGATATAAGTCTAGCGGGAGTTGGCTCGAACCTCCTCAGGTTCTTGGCAGTCCTATGCTTGATAGTGTAATCGTCTTGTGGACAATAAACATTGCTAAAATCTATTTCAAAATATAAAATATATTCTTCTTTATAAAACAAAATTTGATAATCTTTTTCGAGATTTATGTGTATGTCAAAAAACATAAATTTTAAAATATGTTTTAAAATTGGTTGTCCACCTTACAAATACCTGTTTAGGCTGGGAAATAGCCCCTTTAAGTGAGATTCAAGACACACTGCTAGATGAGTGGTGGGTTCTATATATTCGGGTGACCGAGTAGCCTTCGTGGACCCTCGAGAATAAATATAGCTGAGTCTAGTCCCATACGAGTGCTTGCGGTCCCCCCGTCCGAATTTTGTTTCTGTTTCTTTGTTTTATCGTTTTATCAAAGCTTTGGGACAGGACACTCGTGTTACTTTTTCTTTCTTTCGGGATTTCCCCAGGAGTTTTGAGGATTTTCTTTAGCTTGAGGTTTTTTTTTTGTTTTTCCGTTGATTTTTCTCGAGTTTTCCGCTTTTCCTTGGGTTTCCTGGACGACGTTTCTTTCGGACTTTGCTTTTTGAGATGCATTTAGGTTTGCTATACTTAAGGAACAGCGGATCTCACGGGCGTACAGATTTGCTTTACATTTTACAGCGGTTAATTTTCCTGTTTCTGCCTGCTATTGCTCTTTTTATACAACATGTTATACTATTTCTGTTTCTATCTGCTATCGTACCGTACAACATGTTATATTATTCATGTTTCTGCTTGCTACTGTTCTTCTCGTATAGCATGTTATACTGCTCTTGTTTTGCCTACTACTGTTCTACGTGCATTCTATTGTTTGTTCATGCATCGCACACTTTACATTATATAACTTCAAGCATGTTTCCTTTTTGCATATGATGTTTAGAGGACTACAACCATAGGACCTTTTGATTTAACACTATAACTGGACACCCTAGAAAACTTAAACTCGTCATGACAAGGAGTTTGGAGCTAGTACGGTGGGCAGCACGACCATCTTCAACAGCAAAACATGTCTTCCCCAACAAAAACCACCCCTTCTCCTAGAAATTAAACAACGATCCATAGGGTTTCGAGGTTGTTTGCCTAGCGCAACATAAACCCTCCACTTTTTCTTTAGGCATTCGTATAGCTCTGCCGTACGATCTAAATCCTAAACTCGTTCTAGGTTTCGAGGTCGTTGTCAGATACGATGTAAACCATCATATCTTTCAGGCAACTTGTGTGACCGTGTCACGCGAATATAAATCATAATTAAATAAAATTGACAGGATGAAACATTTTAATAACTTCATCTTAAAGCTGAAGCCAAACCATAGGATAAACTGAGAAGTCATTGAGGTTCTCCTCAGGATCTGTGGCTTCCCCTCGTTTCTCTCAATTT